AACGGTAACCTGGTTGCCGAGTTCACGAAGTGAATTGGCTTGTTTTACAGCGTCGATGCCAAGCGACAAAAACCCAACCTCGATGGCAAACACCGGGGGGAGGGGGGCGTATTTTAATGTTTCTCATGCCTTAGCGGGTAGACCATTGACCACGCGTCCTCGAAGGGACGGAGAATAAACGGGGGAGGAGTGGGGAGAGATTCCGACCGGATTCCGGGTACCCCTGAGAATCCTTGTTCCTGTCTAGCAAGCACGAGGGGGGAGTTATGTGCAAGTGACTGACCCTTGACAAAAAATTTCACCCCCCCAACGTGCGTCAAGGGCGATCGATTCCCCCTTTTCCCGTTTCGTTTCGGAGGCAGACCGAGGAGAAAGAACAGAACTTGCGTGGCATGTGCTACTTGTCTCCCGACTCTTTCCGGGCGAATTGCTACAGAATTGCCTCAGGAAAGGACACAGAACACGCCACCCTTCGACAAAAGCCAACACAGCAGCAGCAGCAGCAGCAGCAGCAACAGCAGCAGCAGCAGCAGCAAGAGAACGAGGGGACATACCGGCTTAACCGATGTGATCTTGATGTACGCCAAAGTCTCGTCCGTGACTAGCGCCTCGTCAGCAGAGTCCGGCAGCACCTTGACCTGACAGAGAGGCAAGACACACCGTAGATATGGCATGTCGTTTCGTGAAGGAGGGCGGGGGAGTAGAGGACGGTGCGAGAACGAACAAAAAAATCGGCAAGTGAGGCTTAAAGGCAGAAACAACACACGAGGCAAATCAAAACGAAGACGAAAGAAGAGAAGGAGACACTGAAACAAGCGAAAATACAAAAAACGAGAGATAGGAAACACGATCGAGAAAACAGGGCCGACACCGAGACGAGCGACGGGCGCACGAGAGACAAAACATTCGCAACACGCACATCGTATCTCCTAGATCTACCGGGGAGGGAGGGGGGGGGGGGGGGGAAAAGCCGGGACGGAGCACGCCGGGTTCTCACCGGACCAGGCTCTCACATCACCAAGCGCGAAGCGCCGTGAGATATTCGGCGGGTCGCATGAAGGGTGCGCTGCATCCTGCTACTGGTTTTCGGCATCTTGTGCTTACTTCCTTGC